GTCAAGTGGGTATTATCTGCAAGTGTGGGTGTTCTTATGCATATGCCCTCTTTTCTTATCAGCTGGACACTTCACTATCCACTCTAGTCCTCTGTGGCTATGTCACTGACTCTAGGCCCAAGAGTTCCCAGGTCTTGCCACACTGCTTGCCCACCAGGTCTCCACCCGGGTTCATAGGAGTCTATTGAATGTTGGAGGCCTTAGCTCGCAGCTTCATTGTTGTTTTTCCCTCACTTCCCTTTATCGGTGATGAACGTGGTCACCAATCAGAGTGTGTATTCCCATTGAGTCTTAGTCTTGGAAGGGGCTTTGCTCTAAGGGGACCCGGCCACTTGCCTTGATGTCTCCTGGGTGAGCAACTTGCTTGTTCTTGTAGGTCTGCCGTTATTGTTTTGTATTTTTCCTGTTGGTCTTTCTTTCAAGAAGTATCTTCTGTTCTTCTAGCCACTCCAGGCTGATTTGCCATCCTTTCAAGCGACCAGCAAAGAATACCCTCCCCCCTCTTTAGTATGGGTTCTTTTTCTTAGTCTTTTACAGTAGTGGTCCTGTGCAGTATTTCTCATTTTGTGACTGACTAATTACACTCAGCATAATGTCCTCAAGGTTCATCCATGTTATGCGGTGGCTTGCAGCTTCCTTGTTGTTCTTCTTCATGGTAGCATAGTATTCCATTGTGTGTATGTACCACAGTTTGTTTATCCGTTCTTCAGTTGATGGGCACTTTGGCTGTCTTCATCTTTTTGCTATTATAAAAAGTGCTGCTATGAACATTGGTGTGCATATTTCTACTCGTGTTATGGCTTGTATTTCTTGTGGGTAAATACCAAGTAGAGGAATTGCTGGATCATAAGGTTTTTCTATTTCCAACCTTCTGAAGAAGCGCCATATTGCTTTCCAGAGAGGTTGGACCATTTTGTAGTCCCACCAGCAATGCAGGAGTGTCCCTGTCTCTCCACATCCCCGCCAGCATTTATTGTCCTCTACTTTTTTGATCTTTGCTGTTATTGCTGATATCTCATTGTTGTTTTGATTTGCATCTATCTAATGACTAGTGATTGTGAGCATTTCTCCATATGTTTGTATGGCTGCCCGGATCTCCTCCTTGGTGAAGTGTCTGTTCATATCCTGTGCCCGTTTTTTAATTGGGTTACTTGTCTTTTTCTTGTAGAGGTGTTGTGGTTTCCTATATATTTTAGAAATGAGTCCCTTGTCTGATGCGTGGTTGCAAAAGAATTTTTCCCATTCTGTGGGTTCCCTTTTTACTCTTCTGGTGAAGTCTTTTGATGCATGTAATTTTTTAATTTTTAGTATGTCCCATTCGTCTATTTTTTCTGCTTTTGTTTGTGTAGTTTTCACAATGTTTGATAGTCTATGCATTCCCTGAATTAGTGTCCTCACATTTGTCCCTATTTTTTCATTGATGGCCTTCATAATTCTGGGATTCATATTTAGGTCTTTAATCCATGTTGAGTTGGTTTTTGTATGAAGTGTGAGGGTGAAGGTCTTGTATCAGTCTTTTGCATATCGCGTTACAGTTCTGCCAGCACCATCTTTTGAAGATATTGTCAACTCCCCATGTGATATATTTAGGTGTTTTGTCAAAAATCAGTTGGCTGTACATAGAAGTGTTAATTTCTGCATTCTCGATTCTGCTCCATTGATCTGTGTATCTTTCATTGTACCAGTACCAGGCTGTTTTGACCACTGTAGTCGTGTAGTAAATTTTGAAGTTGGGGACTGAGAGGTTTTCAACCTTATTCCTCTTCTTAAGCAGTGCTTTGCTTATCCTGGGTCCCTTTCCTTTCCATATAAAGTTTGTAAATGTCTTTTCCATCTCTTTGAAGAATGTTGTTGGAATCTGGATTGGGATTGCGTTGTATGTGTAAATTGCTTTGGGCAGTAGTGACATTTTCACAATGCTAAGTCTTCCTATCCAGGAGCATGGTACATTATTCAATTTTTGTAGGTCTCTTTTGGTTGTACATTTACTTTGAACATTGTGTGCATAACATAAAAAATCTATAGCTTCGAAGGTAGAGTCCCCAGTGAATAATTTCATCTCGTCTAGATGAGTCTAGTGAAAGGAGATGGGGGTAGGATTGTTATGATTAAGTAGTTATTATCACGACTAATTGCCACTGTCACAACTGTAAAGGTAGAAGTTTTGTAACACAATGAGGTGGGGGAGTAGTTAATCTTACAGTCCAGGATCAGAAGACCCTAGGACCATCAAGGGAGAAGAGCATGAGCGGACTATGGAACCTTATCTAGAGAAGCAGTGATGCCAGAGATGGAGGCAGAGATGAGAACATGGAGAGAGGGAGCAGCTGAGGACTCCAGGCTCATGGAAAGAGAGGGCCTTAGTACTGGTGGGCAGGAGGCAGGCTTGCAGAATGTGCCCTTTGGTTGGTTAAATGATTATATATTCCTGAGTGTTTTTGTGTACATCCCTCCCCACCATCCCCAAAACCAAACCAAAACAAAGCAGAAGGAATAGAAGCAAATACTGTTGAATGATGACGCACGGAAGAGACTGTAATCATTGCAATGAAACCATGAGTGTAAAACCGACCCTCTCCCATGTAAACTATCATTCAATTCAGAATTTAAATGAAAAAAAAAAAAAATCTATAGCTTCACACACTTCACACACTTCCTCAGGAATCATACCTGGTGCCTGCGTGTAAAAAGTTAGGGGAATTCCAGGTGATGATACTCACTTGTTGATGTCAGCAAACTGGAAGCCAATCTGCCATATTTTTTCTGTCGTTGCAGGTGATTTTCAAAGCAAAGTCAAAATATTCCCCAGAATTACTCAAATACCGGTAAGTACCCTGGGTGAGTGTTTGAGCACAAGTATCAAATCCCTGTAGGTACTAACCACAAGGCTGGCAGTTCAGTACCACCAGCTGCTTGCTCTGTGGGAAACCACTGAGGCTCTCTGCTTCCATAAAGACTTACAACCTTTATCTGGTCGCTGTGGGAATTGACTTAGTGGCAGGGGAGGTTTCTTGTTTGTTTCTTTTTCTCAGTCAGAGCATTGCCAGGAAGTCCATTCCTTTCACTCTTACTCGACCTTACAGTGTTTTCACTATTTTCTTGTTCAGAAATAAAAGTCTGTGGGTTTCTTTGCCAGGAGGAAGTAGACAGGAATAAAAAAGATATGAGTTACACATAAACTTTTCTGGGCACCTGTGAAATAAATGGCCTTTGATAGAAAGGTGGGCAGAGCCAATAGCTACCCCTCTTTACTGCTAACTGAAAGGTTAGAGAGTTGAGCCACCCCAGGGTACCTTGGAAGAAAGGCCTGGTGATCTGCTTTAAAAAAAAAAGCCATTGAGAGCCATGTGGAGAACAGTTCTACTCTGACACACAGTGTTGTCATGAGTTTCAGTAGGCTTCATGACAACTGGTTATTTAGCAGAAGGAAGCAGTTTCCCTGAAAATGTCGATGTATAATCCTTGTGTTCCCTCCTCCTCACTCCACCCTCTGGGAGCGTTTGTAGCGAGCGTGACCTCAGGTATGACCATAGACACTTGTCCTCCCATCCCTGTCCGCCTTTCTTTGTCTCGGGCTGCGGACTGCTGTTATTGTTAGGTGCCATCTAGTCGGTATGGACTCAAAGCAACCGCATGCACAACAGACCAAAACACTACCTGGTCCCGAGCCAACTTCACAGTTGTTTAGCTTGAGCCCATTGCTGCTGTACCAATCCATGTCACTGGGACCTCAACTTTATCAAACATGATGTCCTTCTCCAAGGACTGTTCTCTCCTGATAATATGCCTGAAGTATGAGAGAGAAATTCTGGCCATTCTGACTTCCAAGGAGCATTCTGGCTGCACTCTTCCAACATACTTAACATTCTCCTCTAACACCATAAGTCAAATGCATCCAATCTTCGGTGGTCTTCTTTATTCACTGTCCAACTTTCACAATCTTACTGAAAATACCAAGGCTTGAGTCAGGGGCACCTTAGTTCTCAAATGAACATCTTTGGTCTTGGACACTTTAAAGAGGTCTTGAGCAACAGATTTGCGCAACGCCCTATGTCATTTGATTTCTTGACAGCTGCTTCCATGAGCGTTGATGGTTGATCCCAGCAAAGTGAAGTCTTTTGACAACTTCAGTCTTTTCTCCATTTATTTCGATTGTTATTTGTTGGTCCAGTGGTGAGGATTTTTATTTTCTTTATATTGAGGTGCAACCCATATTGAAGGCTGTGGTCTTTATTAAATATTTTAAGTCCTCTTTGCTTTTACAAAGTAAGGTTATATCATCCGCATATTGTTGTTATTATGTGCTCTCGAGTTGGTTCTGACCCATAGTGACCCTGTATGGGGTTTCCAAGGAACAGCTGGTGAGCTTGAACCGCCAACCTTGCAGTTCAAATGGCTTTGCAGTCTGGAGCATTAACCCACAGCGCCACACCAGGACTCCATCATCTGCGTATAACAGGTTGTTAATGAATCTTCTTCCAACCCTGATGCCACTTTTTTTCATCATATAATCCAGCTATTCAGATTATTTGTTTCAGCAGGCAGATGAATAAGTATAGTGAAAGAACAACCGTGGCACACACCTTTCCTAATTTTAAATCATTCAGTGTTCCCCTGTTTTGTTCGAACAAGTGCTTCATGGTCTACAAGTTCCTCATGTGCACAATTACGTGCTCATTCCCCGTAACTTGTCATGATCCATTCAGTTGAAAGCCTTTGCGTAGTCACCAAAGCATAGGTAAACATATTTCTGGTATTCTCTGCTTTCAGCCAAGATCCATCGGACGTCAGCAGTGATATTCTTTATTTTACATTCTTGTCATAGCTTCATTCTTCATCATGAAATATGGAAACTCAGGGTTAAACTTTAAAGATAACCCTAAAATTACTTTATAGGTATACTGTAATTTACACTCAAAAGAATGACAAGTTCTTTGAAACAAGACTTATCAAAGAAAACATGTTATTAACTGCCATTAAGTCAGTACCCATTCAGCAACCTTATGCACAACCGAATGAAACACTGCCACTGATTCTTAGCAAACTTTTACTAGCATGTGATACTAATGATACCATCTTAAGATTTCTGCATTCCTTTGGGTCACGTCTCTTTGTTGTTGTTGTTAAGTGCTGTCGAGTCGATTCCAACCCATAGCGACCCTGAACAAGGTTTCTGAGGCTATAAATCTTTATGGGAGCAGAAAGCCTCATCTTTCTCCCATGGAGCTGCTGGTAGTTTCAAACTGCTCACCTCGCGGTTCGCAGCCCGATTCATAACCCCTACGCTACCAGAGCACCTCTCTTTGGATGGGCACAAATATGGATGTATTCCAGTTGGCCAGGTAGCTGTCTTCCAAATTTCATGGCATAGATGAGTGAGTGCCTCCGGTGCCACATCACTTAGATGAAAGATTTCAACTTGTGTCTTAATAATTAATTTCATCAATTACCAGAGGCTTGTTTTTTGCCAATGCCTTCAGTACACCTTGAACTTCTGCTTTGGTACCATTGGCTCTTGACCATATGCTGACTGTCAAAATGGTTGAACACTGACCATTTACAGTAACTCTGTGTATTTCTTCCTTTGATGCTTTCTGCATCATTCAATATTTTGCCCATGTTGTTGTTGTTTGTGTGCCGTCGAGTCAGTTCCGACTCATAGCAACCCTGCATAGGGTTTCTAAGGAGTGGCTGGTGAGCTTGAACCGCCGACCTTGTGGTTTAAACCGACTTTGCTGTCCAGCGCATTAACCCACGGTGCTACGCTAGGTAGGACTCCATTTTGGCCATAGAATTGTTCAGTTTTGAAAGTGGAGGCTTGAATTTTTCTTCAGTTCCCTCAGTTTGAGAAATACTGAGTGTGTTCTTCCTTCTTGGTTTTCTGACTCCAGATCTTTGCATATTTTGTTATAATACTTGACTTTGTCTTCTGGTATTTGGTCTTTAGTGTCTAATGCATCAAATCTTTTCTTCAGATGATCTCTAATTTCAGGTAGGTTCAAGCTCACCAGCTGCTCCTTGGGAACCCTGTACAGGGTCTCTATGGGTCTGAACCGACTCAATGGCACTTCACAACAACAACTTTAAGGTTATATTTTGTCTCTCATGGACTTTCAAAAATTTATTTCAACTTCAGCTTGAACTTGCATATAAGCAATTGATCATCTGTTCCATTATCTGTCCCTGGCCTTGTTTTGACTGATGATAAGGAGCTTTTCCTCTGTCTTTTTCCACAGATATAGTCAATTCGATTCCTGTGTATTCCATCTGGTGAGGTCCATGTGTATAGTCGCCTTTTATATTTGCAATGAAAAAGTCATTGGTCTTGCAAAATTCTATCATGCAATGTCGTTTCTACCACCAAGGCCATATTTTCCAACAACTGATCCTGCCTCTTTGTTTCCAATCTTTGCTTTCCAGTCACCAGTAATGATCAATACATCTTGATTAGATGTTTGATCAATTTCAGATTGAAGAAGTTGGTAGAATTCTTCAATTTTGTCATCACTGGCTTTAGTGGTTGGTGCATAGATTCTTAACTGGTCTTCCTTGGAGGCATGTGGATATTATCCTATTACAGACAATGTTGTACTTCAAGACAGATCTTGAAATGTTCTTTTTGATGATAAATGTGACACCATTCCTCTTCAGTTTGTTACTCCCTATATAGTAAACCATGTGGCTGTCAGACTAAAAATAACCAATCCCAGTCCATTTCAGCTCACTAATGCCTAGGATATTGATGTTTATGCGTTCCATTTCATTTTTGACAACTTCCAGTTTTCCTAAGTTCACACTTTGTGCATTCCATGGTCCTGTTTTTAATGGATATTTACAGCTGTTTCTCCTCATTTTGAGTTGTGTGTCGTCAGCAAATGAAGGTCCAGAAATTTTTCTACGTTCACGTCATCACGGTCAATTCTGCTTTGAGGAGGCAGCTCTTCCTCAGTTGTATTTTGAGAGCCTTCCAACCTGAGGGGCTCATTTTCTGCAACTATATCTGACAATATTCTGGTGTTCTTCATTGTGTTCTAGCATTTAATTCTCTGGTGCTATCTGACAGTGTTCCACTGCGAATTCATGAGGTTTTCAGTGACTAAATATTAGCAAGTGGTCTGTCTCTCTGTCTTCCTAGTCCATTTTAGTCTGCTACCTCATGTGGACCCTGGCAGTTCTGGGTGACCCTGCTTGTATTTCAGTTAGCCTTGGCATAGCTTCCTGAATCACGGAAACATGTACCACAAACTGACCGATGAATGGTGGCCGACTGCTGGTAGGCTCTTTGTTTTCTGGAACGCATCCTAGAGTTTCACGTCTTGCCTCAGACGGTTGCCATGTAAGTTGCTGTTGATGTTGTCAGTTGCCGACTGGTGGTGCACAGGATGGAATTGTGCTGTTGTGAAGTGCCTGCTCCTTCTTCATGATTGTTGGTATGTTTGAGTTTATTGTTCCAGATGCTGTGTCACTCCATCTCATTGAGGGCGCCCCACAATTTCACACATGTTCTACTTTACCAACCATGATGGCCTGTACTAGTGGTTGGTCCTTCCTAATGCTGTATCCAACATAAGGGGCCTGCAGCCTCACCTTCTACATGCTTCGAAAGAGCTTTCTGGTTGAGTTCCTTTGAATGATTGATTTGTTCGTTTTTCTGGCGGTCAATGCTATATCTAATAACTTTCTACACATGTTTGTTGAGTATCCAATCAGCAAATCTATGTTTGACTGTTAATACTCAGGTACTATGAGGCAATAACATAGCCTGTGCCCTGGAGAAGTGGACACTGTATTTCAGAAGCTGTCCAGTAGAACACAGGCAAAGCTG